CTGCTCTTTCTCTACCCCTTGTCCCAAATAAATCAGTTTCTAGCTATAAATTTGGATAGCCTTATCCAAGAATTTGATTATTCTCGAGAATATCAAAAGCACAACCAAAGATCTTACACTACCTATATTTGAAATAAACTGGACGATGCTAGATTGGCTTGTCTAGCTAGTGTCGAACCGTAACATATAAATAGTGTGTATATTCTAAGTTAAAACAGAACTGAAGTAGCAGCATGATGGGTGGAGTAGCTATAGCTTGGTCACCTGTGTTCGTGCCACTACTGGCGGATTTGCAAAATGGTACCTTTGTTGGCCATTTGAGACAATATTTGCCCTTCTTTGGTCCATTAATATAGAGCCATCCCTTGCTAGGCCGGCAGGTCCAGTCGTCCCTGTTTAACCGGTTCATTCAGTTTAGAGCTGCTAAACTGCTATTGGAACCGAATGAACAGCTATCCGCACACCCAATCAAAGCCACAACCAATATCCTAGTCAGATAGTCCAAAAGGATAGTCTCTTAAAAAACTAATGTTTTGACATTTTCTTTTTTGCAAACAAGTTTTGCAATTTACGAATTTACGTTTACATGACATGTACTCCAGTGATTACAAGCATTAAGTACGGATTCAGGATCAAAGTTTCAAACTTCAGACCAAAGCTGCCAAAATTATTCGTTGATTTGATGGCAGTTGTTCAATAATCAGAAGTATTTTCTAGACTAGAATGTTCCCAACCATGACAGTAACAGCTTCTCCGCGAATTTGAACCCTCTGGGCCGCCTCATCCCATTGCAGATAAAGCGTTCCACTCCTTGGGGAAGCCTGAAAAAAACATAAACACAAAGAAATATATGCAGCATGACAATAGGCTACAATTTCCATCATAAGATCGTCTCAAATTTTTAGCAGGGATTGTCTACGTCTAAAAGCTTCTTACCATGGAGGCAGTCATGCATTGTTTACCTAGCTTCTTGCCCCAGTAAGGAGCCAAGGCACAGTGCACACTACCACATACAGGATCCTGATAATCAGCAAAGTAAGAGAGTGAGAGGAAGTCCATTTTAGATAAAGTTTTACATTATGATCTGTTCCGAATATGTGATTCCTAAGCCAAAAGGATACAGGTCAACAAAACTGATGATGTTTTTGGGAACGATAATATCTGACATAAAATTCTTTACTTAATTTTGGGTTGCACATGCATGCGGAAGAAAAATAGGGGCAAAAGCAGGATTCACTGGCACTGCCCAATATCATGTTCTATTCAATGGCACTATCACATTCTACTGTTGTCACGATGAGCCAACTGAAAATAAAGTTTCTGGGAGCTCCCAAAACAGCTATCATATTATTCTACAATGGATTTGAATTACCTCATTCAATCCATATTTTGGGCAGAAGAAACGACTGAAAAAATCATAGCTAGATCCAACAGGAGCTGGCCCTGTAACAGCAACCCCTCTTCCAGCAGATTGGACTAATTCAGAAATGTTTGGTCGGACATTAACAACTTCCTCACTTGAATTAAGCTCCACCTGAAAAGTTAAGCCATGTTATTTGCTCCAAATCCTCCGTGCTACTATGGTTGCCAGATTGTTTCAGAAGGTTACAAGATAGGAAGAAAATAAGATGCTGATTATTGAGACAATCTATTAAAATAATTCACTAGTAAAACAAAATGCAATGTTCAAAAATTGATCTTTAACCCCTGCCATATTTTAAGCTTTATTGTGTTTAGCATACTATAAAGCTCACACAGCTAAATTTCAATGTAACAGGTTGCATTTCTACGGAAAGTATATACGTGAGAGAAATTACAATGAGATCGGTGGCAGAATCAGAAACAGTTTTCAGCACATTACTGACGGATGCACCATTTAAAGTCTCAGGAATAGATGGCATCTCCAAAGGTGAGCATTTGACTACTGGAATGAGGGGGAAATCCAGTTCAATTAAGAATTTCGTGCAAGCTTCTTGCAGTGGAGAAATCAAGGTGCTGGACTGCTTAAGGCCAACAACTTTCTTGGCTGTTAGAAATCCAGATTTTGCCAAGAAATCTATCGCATTACACTTCACAAGGCCAGATGAAATCAGGTAGTGCGCAGCAGCTAATGTTCCATGGCCGCAAAGTTCACTCTGCACAACACAAAACGTTTAAATTTGAGTTATATGAACAAAATAACAAGAAAAAGATAGGATAATATTTTGTCAAACAGAACTTCAGAAGGGTTTTTTTTATAAAGAAAAGCTTGCTGCAGTGTTTATTTTTAAAATTTGAGAAAAAGTTTAAAGTAAATAAGCCATAAATTTGTTGCTAAATCAATACTACGTACTGATGAATCCCCTAATGATTTTGGTAAAAATCATTAAGTTAAGGTGGATACACATCTTGTCA